CTCCCTTCGTTGTGTCTGAACAAATCAGATTTCCTGGGCCTGCGCGTTGTCAGTTGTCTTTAAAAAGGAGAGAGATTCTGACCAAAGCATGTTAAGCACATGTTCTGAGATTTGTTTTACCATTATTCTCGTATACATTAAGCCAAAATTGGCATACGAGAGAGCAAATGCTCACATTTGTTTGATCCTGTGAACCTAGAGAAGGATATGCACATGTCAGACCACTGCATCCAGATAGATCCGTGAAAAATCTTGGCTTTTATTTGGGAAATTCTACAGTGTATGCCGTTATTTTAAATTATATTATCATTAACTAGTGGTTTTCCGCTGCTATTAAGATTTGACTCAGTCATTTCGGTCGGCTTTCTTGTATGGCGTGATCCTGTTTCGTGAAAAAATCTTGGCTTTTATTGGGGAAATTCTACAGTGTATCCCGTTATTTTAATTCAAATTGTCATTAAATAGTGGTTTTCCGCTGCTTTAAGATTTGACTAAATCATTTCGGTCGGCTTTCTTGTATGACGTGATCACATTCTGTTTCGTGCATGCATTTTTTCGTTGGACATGCAGCGAAACGAGGGTTAGAAATATGTCGGAGAGTTGGTAGCTCCAGCAAGCTGATCTCCTTCCCGGGTCACAGAGCTGGCGTGTAGACGTTTCGTCCGAAAACCAGCAAATATCATCAGTACGCTACTTAATGGTTCAATGAGCTGGTCAACGTTTTGTCGTAGGTGGTCAACGCAATGTGAGTGAGTTAAACCAAGCTCGAGTGATCTACACGTAGCTCAGAGAAGGCAGCACAATGATAACAGTAACTCAGCACTTGGCAGCCGCATAAAAGTGGACATCTAGTGGAGTGGAACAACACCACTTATCCAACCGATCTCGAAGGTTACGATTGATGTCAATGATGCGAAAAACAACGTGAAAACAACACAAAAACCAAATCGATTTGCAAATGAGTGTACTTCTCAAAAACAGTCCAATTTGGGTTCAAGTAGATCATAAGGTTGAAGGAAACTCGGGGAATGCGCCTACCGGATGAGCCGCAAGAAGGGCGAAACCGGTCGTGGGCTGTCGAAGAGTTTTCAGCAACCTTGTGAGTAGTTTCCTTCATTAAAAAAATGCGATATTTCGAATATCGTGCCAACTGAAAAATGAGGCAGCCTGTGTGCAGCACATTTAGTTGTAGAACATCATAAACAAGAGATTCAGTTGAGTCTCTCGTAAAAACCAAATTGATTTACAACTGAGTTTATTTCTCGAAAACGTGAAAAACCGTTCATATGGAACAGCGATGAAATCTGTGTTGGTGGAGCCGATGAATGTGTCATCTTTTGAATCCGAGCACAGGTGTCTCACTAGGTCCAAAATTGTCTTTCCCAAGAGGTCCGATTGACTTGCAAGCAAAGAAAACACACTCCTCTGTAGGAACATACAATCAATTTACTCTCACCTCAGTATTTATCGATTTTCTGCGCAAACGGGATTCGCGTATTTTGAGCTTTGTAGATCCCTCTTTAAAAGACATTACAACAACCGCCAACTATTTAAGACAAAGTATCTGCATCCTTTGAGCTGGCAGGGACACGATGATGCCACAAGGCCAGTAGAATGACACAACAAATCAGCATTTACGTGAAAATCCTAAGTTTAGAAGTCACTATAAATTCCACCGTTTTACATGCTTTTGTAATGGGGATACATTACGAATCAGCGTTCTCAAGAATGTGTTATTCAATACTTGGCAGCAACCAACAATGATATGCAGAGGCTCAACAGAATGAGTATCTCCAAGCAAACTCACGCGGGTACGATGCCTGGGCACTCCCACTTAAGAATCACCTATTGATGAGGAAACGCTTACAGCTAAATTTTCTGGCACGTCGAACAAATTGGTGTTTATAAAGACACTGATGCATCACGGCCAATGATGTTGTTCTTGGTGCTCATGATAACAAGAGTGAGCAAGTGCCTCATCGGGGTTGAGCCGCAAAGCGAGAATCTGACTGTTTGCTCGGTTTAGAAATTCGGAATTAAGAAACATACAAGTGCGAGGGCTTTACAAAATTATCAGCTGACTGATGAACAAGAAGGAACTGAAAGATCCTTAAAAGGGATACACTCCCTTGTTTTGTGGAAATTACTCGACTGATTTTGCTCTTCATGAGCTCGTCAACTAAATGTGTTACACAAAGACCGACTGTTTTTCACCTGGGGTAGTATTCGAGATACCGCCGTGCGTCATCGATAGAATAAGGCTTGGTTCTTAAAATCCCTTAGATAACCTAATTGCAATTTCACCCATCACGGGATCGTCAATAAAGTTTAGTCCAAAAGTTTCTATAAAGAAGACGCATTGATGCGAGAAGCAACTGAGTTAAAACTAGGCCACAGTCACGTTACAAAGGTTTGCCCCGTTAGCACTACAAAAGACCGACAGACTTTGAGAACTAAGCTTTTGACCAACCTCAAAAAGTATAGAAGGGCTGTGGGTTGTTTTGGAATTTTCAACAACCATATAAATAGTTCCTTCTGCTGAGAAAATGCATGTCGAACACCGGAAGGAATGTTCGTTCCACAACGCAGTCAGATGAGTAGTATCATGCAGAAAGCGTCCGACGGGGTTTAATTTGAACCGCCAATTGAAACCAGCTTAGTTTACCTCTTCATACTGCGAACGTGTCTCACTAGACGTTAGTGTGTGAGTTTAGATGATATAGAACGGCCATTTGTTTGTGCGTCTGTACGACTTTATTCCACTTAGTTGTTCATACCTTTGCTCGCCGTTATCAAACACGGGTTTTTAATTTGATATCCTGCACCAGAAGCCCCACTCCCTTCGTTCTGATTGGAATAAAGGTAAAATTACTCCATACAGACAACGCGTTAGTCGAACCTCGTCTGCGTGTTTTAGGGCTTCAGGACCGGAACTTGTTATTCTCTTGATCAGCGGAAAAAGATGAAAGCCCTTTTCATCGGCAACGAGTGACAGAGAACGACTTATATGCCGGAACTAATAAATACCTATCTGTAATTTTTTCTACCGTGGTCTTTCATTGCGCTTCATTGCTTGATTGGCATACCGATTGAATGCGGATTACATTTTACCGTTCGGTGATCCGTAAATTTGTTTCATTGTTTCTCGCGTGAACGACATAACTTACAGGCTTCTGGGAAACGTAGCGTGGAATTCAGAATCCTGGATTACTTTAGAACGAATTACGCAGACCGGCTGTCTTGTTCAAAGTAAGGACAAACTAAATGGGTTGATTGATTTCAACTGATGATTGAAAGTGTTTTTTCTGAGAAACAGGGATGACTAGCTGGACTCTACCAATATCTGTCCACCGAGCGTATAACTGAACACTGACATGCATGTACGGCAGTGAAGCATCTCTGAGAAACAGGGATGACTAGCTGGACTCTACCAATATCTGTCCACCGAGCGTATAACTGAACACTGACATGCATGTTATTCCACTCAGCAAGACTGGTTTTGCGGAGAATATGCTGGATGATGAAATTAGTTACTGAATTTCAAAATGCGGTCGAATGAATAGCTTGATAATATGCTACAAGAGAACCATAGAAACTGTCCCCTAAAATGCCGGTTTTGGTATATCCTCAATATTCGAGTGATGGTGTGTGTTCTGTTGGGAAAGGCGTCGTGCTGCGCAGTTAAGTGTGAAATTATTCACCAAGACATTTCAACTATCGCCAAAGAAAATATGGACGCCAGTCTTGATAAACTAGCTAATGTAGCCAGTGAAATTCGAGGTTATGCGCAAACATATCTTGTATCTTTAGTTTGTTGATCAGGATACAAGTGAAGGAAACCACACGTATTACACAGACTCATCATTCCAGGCTATTGCGGCCGATCAAAAGGACTGTACCCGGCATTAATAATAATAATGGTAGTATTATTACTTCGTCACGAAGAGACTGGATATTACCGTGGCATGGCGGTTTGTGTACCTCGGCGACCTATTGAGCTATACTGGGGGTGTTCGAGTGACACTCACAGAGTCTCCCATACCAGTGTGGTCAATAACCTTACGGTGGTACGGCAGTTAAGCCTCGTCGTCAACACTGATGTTGCTGTCTTTGATAATGATGATGATGACCTAGTATTGTTTATCGAATGATCGAAACCAACGTTATGCGCGGCGAAATTCCAGTGGGTAAGATTTGTTTTATCCTGGTCATTCAAATCCGTGTGAAACCTACAGACGGTGTGGTTTATCTTTCTGGCCATTTCTTTCCGATTTACTTTCTCGTGATACTAAGCGAATTCGATGTGAAGCATTAAAACTGTGGATCAGTTGAATACGGGGTGTTCGAGTGACACTCACAGAGTCTCCCATACCAGTGTGGTCAATGGGTAGAGGTCTGAAGGACACAATCTCCTAGCCTTTCACGTCGGGGGTTGGAACATGTGTGGAGACGAGTTCCGTATGAATGGTGATGTGCTTGCATTTGTAGCCTAACTCCGCTGCCGTGCAGCTGAGCTTTTGAGCCAAAGACTTTGGTTGAGGACCCTAACCGTCGTCCAGTCTAGGTGTGGGTGCCCTGGCAGTATCCCAGCCCCCGTACAACGATGGTACTCACAACTAACAATATTCTCATGCCACATCGGCCGTCGCGTGGTGCCATCAGCCGGGTCACCTTACTTGCCGCCTACAGCAGG